TTTTTAGCCAAAGTAATCTGAACTTCAGTTCCCATGAAGTTTATGTAACGAATCAATTATAATTTTTTTTCAGAACACTGAGTTGTATTATTCTGTTAGGCTGGAAGGAACAGGGAAAGAAATAATTCTCTGATGTCTGTTTGGGTGATAATGTCTAATGCCAAGGGTGTGCAGGAGCTGATTCTTCACTGCCTTCCACCATTTGTATATATCGTAGTAATTAAACACATGCAGTATTATAAAACTGGTATGTAGCTGTACTGGCTGTCAGTCTATTGGTAAATAACAGATACCTGCAGTTTCCTTGTATTATACTACAGTTTTTCATCTGGCCTTTCTTTACCTAACAAAAGTTGCAGGGTGACTTCAAAACTGTTTTTCTAGTAAGCATTTTCAAAATCAAACACAGACTCAGATTCTATCATGGAATATGGGTGGGACTTCAACATTACCTCAGCCAAAGCTTTGCAAAGAAAGCTTGTGAAGGGCCAAAGAAAAGTCTGCAGGGTTTTTCTGAGCAGTTAACAAAAGTCATATGAAGGCTCACTCTGTAAACACTGCAAGCCATAGCATACAAGGTAGCTACGATGAATATAGGTGTGTTCTTTAGACTGCACCCCTGTCTTTGAGACGAGCATTTAACTTGCTCTATTTTACACACCTCACTACAGTCAAATTGCCAATACTTAACAATGGGGCAAAAGCCAGCTTTGGACCTGCTCACCCATACCTTGTTTTAGACATCTGCACTTTTTAAGCAACCATAAAATAGAGTCAGCATCCTGCCATACGACAATGGTAGCATTTCACACCTGCCTACACAATTTTTTTTTTTTTTTTTTTTTTAAAGTTTTGGAGCTTTAAAACCTGTTCTAAATTCAAGCTAAATAATTAGCTACTAGCTCAATTTAACATACATATATATATATATATGAATATTTATGTATTCCAAAAACTTGACCCAGGACTTTTATTTCTGTATCCTGAACAAAGCTTTGTGAAGCTTCTATATATATCTGAGTTAACTAGTACAACTGACAACAACAACAATCAGTCAGAGAGAACTAAGGATTCTAACCTAAATACACCAGTAACTGAGAGAAGGGGACGGGAACCAGCCTCAAGCATCCGCTGGGATCTACAAATTATTATTTCTGAAGCACGGTTTAGTCCTCTGGCAACTGATACCATGACATACAAGCCTAAACATTTACTCTTAAATACATTAATTATTACTGGCTCTGATTATTTGCTGACTACTCCAGCCACAACAACAAAATTACCAATGTCTTCACTTGTCCATTTGACAGTATATTAATACCTGTCAAAAAATAAGCCAATTAATACTTTCACAGAGAAATGCAACATATAGCATGTCTACTTTCTGTGAAATCACATCTAAGCTCTAATTCCTTATTGAATGTCTCTGAGCAGCCATCGCTGTATAACCAGAACTACTAACACACAACAATCAGACAAGAATGGCATTAACTTTGTCTTCTAAATTTCACACTAACACTAGATGTACAAAACATCGCTGAATAATGAGTAGATGCTTGCATGCATTTGGTTGGAAAACTTAATTTAGAGTGGAACAATTATAGACATCTTTTTCTTTCCTTCATGGAAACCAACTCTCATCAAGTCAGATACTAAACTGAAAAGTCTCTAATTTAATGTTATCGTTAGTTAAGATGAAGATGCATTAAATTCATTTGAATTTTTGAGCAATGCTGAGAAGCACTGAGCTCTTTCATGCGTTGTCATAATAAACAAGAAAAACTGATTTTCATGGGGGAAAAAAAAAGAAATGAAGCTCTAAATGAAGGAAGCAATGAAGAACACTTCCTTCTCTAACAAAATTGGTGATTCCTCCCTCTGTATTGTCTTTTACATTAGACTTGGATTAAATGGAATTACAATGAGAGAAGTTAACATGCCATTTGAACTTCTTTTAGAGCTGATTGGCAATGCCTCAAAAACAGAGCTGCACAATTTTTGCTTACTTCAGAAATTAATTTTCCTGGATAAATTGGTTTTAAGGAGTTGATATTCAGCCGTACATTTCTGTGAATAAAAATCTTTTAAATGCACTTGGAATAAGTTAATTAAATAAAGAGACTTTAGAAAGAGCTTTGTTAGAGCTCCATATGAGTTGAGCCTAAGTCTGAATTCAACCTATGGAAGTAAAAATGAGAAAATGAGGCCTGGGAAATTAACTATACTAAACTACTAAATAGAAATAATGGCTCAACAGTGACAATATAGTTAGTTCCATTATGTAAAAATCTAACACAGGTCTATTTTATAGCTCCTGACAAGAAAGCAATGAATACCTGGTCAGTTCTGCTCTTCCCCTGTTGCAAATAAAATATGAGTAAGTGATAACACAGTTCTGAATAACTATAGTATTTCATCACTCTGATAAACCCTGATATTAAGCCATAACAGCACAACTTACTTCTACTGAAAGGAAAAAAAAAAAAAGAAGAAAAAAGAAAAAAAAAGATTTCAGAAGAATATACAAGACCTACATCTGAAATTGGGAGCTAATAAATACAGACAATTATTAGAAAGAATGAGAACATTCACACCAAACCACAAATCAGTTCTGTGCAGTATCTTTCTTTGTCACTAGTAATACGCTGCTGACACAATATTTAAGAGATACCCCTATATTAGGCAATACAGGTATTAGTGGTGTTTGTTGGCGGGTAGTGTTAGAAGACCCAGCAGAGTTCAGGTCCCTGAAAATTTCAACATTATTTCTAAAAAAAAAAAAAGGTAAAGGATTCCCACTAGAAAATGTGAAGTTGTGGCAAGGCTTGTCTTAAAAGCCTGGGAAGCTCTGTGACCACATTGGACTTACCTCAGTGACAGGTTCTAAGAGTAACTCTAACAGAAGAAAATACAGATTGTGAGAAAGGCCATGTGTGACTAAGAATCAGTCTAATAATAAAAACTTCTATTCAGCTGTATGAAGGGACAATGCAAAGTTGGTTTTTGGCTTGACTGTTCTTTGGGGGTGGGGAACTGGACAGTCTGTAGGACCTGACAGTTTTTGCTTTGGGAATCTCAGATCTGCTCATCCAGATTCTTGGCAGAGAGCCAATGTCATGGGAAATAAACAGATATTTCTGCTCAACAGTGAGTCATAGGACAAGATCAAAAAGATTTGCAGTAGGTTGTAGTCTACAAGACTTATTTGTGTCACAAAAATTAATTGTGCACAAAGACTACAAACTGAAAATCCTGTTCTTTCTCTGAGAGCCTAGACTCAGAACAGCTGGCACAAACTTTTTAATTTTTTTTTTTTTTTTTTAAAACATTTTCTACAATGGTGACTACTAAAGACTAACAGCTAGGAAGTTATGCCCTTTTCTTATCCACAGCTTGAGAAAAGCAAACTTGTTTGATCAAACTGCAAAGAAACACCACCACTGACACAGGACTTCTTATCTACCAAAGACAAAACATGCTCCATGCATCTCACTAGTTCCAGCATGGATTATAGCCAGAATAGAAAAGTTTTCTGGTTTTGCTTCTCAAAAAAAAAAAAAAAATTCCAACTTTTTGGACCTATACTTAAACAAGGGAGTTGTGTCCCCAGTAGCTGGTCTCAGTTCTTTCATGCTCCAAAGGCTGTTAAGCCGTAAGGTAATCAGCATCCCAGACGAGGTGCTGGCTGGCACAAGCAGTATCCTGCCTCAGAACTCCAGACTGTCCGAGGCAGCTGTGGCACATATTATAAGCTCTCTATTACGCAATGGGCATGCACCTTCACCGACAGACATTCATTGACAAGTCAGAAGACAGCAGTGGGAAGGGAGGGGGCCAGATGCAAATGTCAGAACTCAACTGCAATTTGGCAATGCAAAATACATTATTGATAAAGCCTAATCAATTTTATTTGAAACAAGAAAAAGGAAGCTTTTCTTCTTCGAAGTTTCTACTGATTCATTGCTACCACTTGTTATATTTCTTCCTGTTTTTAGCACAACCAGTATCCAACAGGGAAATTCTTTCAAATTAAGTAGTGTGATAAATTAACATACTATTTGCTATGTTGATATAACTCATTTTATCACTATGGTTATGCAAAGGAAAACCGTATTTATCCTACGCTAGCTTTGTTTTTTTCTGACAAGGCTATTTGTCACCACAGGAATTCCAAGTTCATAAAACTGGATAGCTGACATTTCCAATATAATATACTTTATGAGGAGTAACAACCCGCCTAATCAATTTTGCCAATTACATCAGCATTTGTCTTAATACAAAATCATTTTATCCCATACTGAAAGACCAACATGGAGCTCTTCCTAAAAGTCACGTAGACCTGGAGAGTAAGAGACTGCATCATCATCAGTGTGGAAACACTTCAAATAAGCAAAGCAGCAGGCAATGTAATCCAGACAGACATAGATGGATAACAAATTCTGTCATTGTAAAGAGCCAGATCTTTTACAATACAGTGTAAAAGCATCATATTTTACCAAGATTCTGGGAAAAGTTTATGCACACAGACTTTGAATTTTTAGCTCCAGATTGTAAAACATTTTTTTCTAGGGGAAAAAAAAAAAGTATCTGCAAATTCTTCTTTTTGTATTCTGAACAACTGCTTGTCAGCAACCAGATGCAGTTCTACTTTTCTAAAACAAACATTTTTGGTGATCTGTTGCAAGTTTTCTTAGAAATACATGTAAAATTTAAGTAATCATCTTCAGGAGTGAAAAATATGTTTTTCTGCAGGATGGACGCTTGATTTAGGAATTTCCTTTTTGAGTGTAAGAAATGACAATTTTGTACTTTGAAAAGTCAACGAAGGTCAAGATTAATATAGCATCTGTTAATTAGTTTGTTGATATCATGAAGGCTTTTCTTGTCATCCCACTGATGAATGAGGGAATTTGCACCTCAGCAGGTAAACATGTTTGATATTTCTTTAATCTACTGCACAGCATTTGCTACAGCCAAAAATAAGAGACAAAGTGGAATACAGAGTCAAAACAATTTAGAAAACAGATTACTAGTTACAAAGGAATATGAATGAAGAATAACTTTTAAAAATAACATATATTCTGGACTGATGTGTTCCATAAACATTTTCTTTGCTAATGGAAGCCTTCAGGGAACACACACTTATTTCATATGCTTTTCATTCTGCTTGAGTCATTTTAGATTTCTACTGTAGCTCTGCCTTTTATTTCCTTCTGTTCTCCTTGCCTTGGTTAGATTAGAGAGGTAGGGTGTTAATGGGGTACTTGATGAAGATTGAAGACCTATTTTCTCCCCCCTCAGAGACGAGCCTGATTTGAACAAATTGAGGAGACTGAAGCAGTCTCTTCATGTCCTTGGGAAAAGCCTTTTCCATTTCAGCATTTCCAGCTTTCACACATGGTCCCCTTTGTTCACAGAGAAAAAGAAAGAAAAGGTGCCAGCACAAGAAGATTCTGAATAATTCCATATAACGTCAGCGGGGCTGCAAAAGCTCCCTTTCAATCTTCTTTACAGTTGGTGAGCATGTGAACGCGAGGTGGATCCAGGAGGGGAATGCAAGGAACTAGTGCTTGCAGCTCGAACAGGGCGAGAAACAAGCTGTTGTCCACCAGTCCCCACCTCTGTTGTTGCCACTTCCTTACTACTCTCATCCTTGTGGGTACTGTTTTGTGCTGGGCACTCAAAATGCACACAGTGAAACACCTGGAGAGAACAAAAAATGAAGATAAAGCAAAACAATTAAGTGCTGGCAAAAGCATGATCAAAGTAAGATGAAGTCTATATGAAAGTATCCAGGCCAGATCAGCGCCAAAGTACTTAGTCAAACTAGAATGTTTCACCATGAGGTCAACAACATCTGTCCATGGGCCATAAATGTTATAAAGTGATACAAGTGGAGCAAAAGAAGACCTTCAAATTATACCAACCTTTACATATGGCACTAAAAATCAGAAAGATGGTTCCAAAGCAGATAGATATATTTTGTAAACGATTTTTTTCTTTGCCAAGTAGCATAAATATCTACTACATACTATTGGATGACAACAATTACCTTAAGTGTCTTAAATGTATCTTATGATCTAATTACTTCCTCAAAAGACTGACTGCTCATACATGCTAGAAATGAAATGTAAATCATTAGCAATACGATTCTATGTCAAGATTGCCCTCTGCTGTAATAGCAATGGTAACTCTACAGACATATCCTGGAGTATGCAGAAAGGCATTCAGAGTGTCCAAGGAGGCTACTGCTTCATCAGCTGAAATATTCCATTTCAAACAGTGATCATTTTCCGATGTTTCAAACAATACATGGGACCACTGTACAGGTGACTGTATCTTCGAGTAAGAGGACCATCTGTTTAAGCATTTTTTCCAATTTATTTTCTACTTTACTTACTCCTACTTATTCTTCAAGTGCTTGGGAGGAGAAGGGGGAAGAACTCTAAAATTGTTGCAAAACTTCTTTCCACCTGATTTCTCATTGTTATGAATTGCACAGCTTTGCCATATACTAAACAAATAAATATTTTCTTATACTGATTTAAAATTCGCTATTTTCTCATGCATGGTAGTTTTATAGCTAAAGCTTGATGAATATTAAAATGTGAATTTTAAAATTACTGTTTTAACTTAATTTTGTATGCTTTTATGACATCTTCTGTCATTCTTCTTGCAAGTAGATTATGTCTTTAAAACTCTTCTCACAAAGGTAATCTCTTTACTGCCCCTTTCAAGTTAATGTGGGCAAAATCAAATACCATAAACAAGACATGGGTATACTACATATTCATACAAGACTACAGAATATTATATTTTCTAGCCTTTCTTCAATGCAACTGAAAATCCTATTATTCTTTTTGACCATCCCTGCTGAAGTGCACATTGAGCCGACGTCTGCAATGACATGTCTGCAATAGCCCCTGGGTCTTTTCTCAGGAGGTAGCTAGTTAATTCAAATTCTGACAGCATACATGAAACGAATAAAAAAATATTCACAGCCACTCGTTTTTTTTATGCCCATTATATTTTCTTGTACCTCTCAGTGTAAGGCTTCTTGCAGTTTTTTATACAGATACATAGCAATGCATGTTTATATTTCTATATATGTACATGCTCACATAAAGATGTATCCCTATGCCTTTATATATACACATATGAACAGATTACAAATCTACATCCGTACCCACACATACACACATGTGCACAAAATGTTTTTTCTCCGCATTTCTTGTGGTGAGTTTTTTTTCTAAAGCTGAACTAATTTCTACAGTGGCATGAATTCTCTCCATCTGTTATAGTTCTTGAGAAGCCAATTTTTGCATTCGGCTACACTTCTTGAGAAGCCCCTTTTATACTCATCCTGCTCCCATGTTTTTAAAGTAACAGCTATTGTCATTTTTCCAGCTGCATTTATCAGCATCAGGATTTGCAGAAAAGAACAGTATCTCATCAGTACACCTCTGTAAGACGCTGCTCTCCTTGAAAGGCAGCATAGTCTAATGAATGGGATGGAGGTCTTCAAGTCAGAAGATTCCATATTTCTACTATATCCCACAACAATAGTGTTTCTAATTTAAAACTTCACTTTACATAGTGACACATGCTTTTTTAAATATAGTTTGGATAACACTGAAATTTAGCTAGTACTAGCCTATAAAGTCTGAAGTACCCGATTCTTAAATTGTAACTTGCATTTTTACTGATTCTTTCTTACTAAACTCTTAATGCTCATCTCGGCATCTGGCACATTAAGTCTGTGAATTTACAACATGATTTTCAGTTACTCTGATACTTCAATATACAGAGAATACAGCTTGTGAAAGAAGCAGAGGACAGAGACGTACAATTGAGTTCATCTGCTCCATCCAGTATGAGCATTATGTATTTCAGAACAGTATTACTAAACCAAACAATCCTGCATGTGTTTCTCTCAAAAGGCAGAGATGACAGTTCAGCATCATCCTCTGATCAACGGCATGTTACACTTCTCATGGATATTTTAAGAAACGTCCGACATACAAAGCAGGAA